GGCTGCAGTCAGCCATGATGGCCCCACTGCATTCCAGCCTGGGCAACAGAGTGAGACCCCATCTGAAAAAATGGATGAAGCACATTGATATAAAAGGATAATATGAGACTATGTAAAACAGTTTAAAAGTAAATGATATATTTTCCACAGAGTATGGGAGAGGGAAAAAAACTTTTCTCTCTAACTTTATATTCTCGGTTAGTGCTTATGGCCAATAAGAAATAAATAATTTCTTTTTTTCACCCTTGGAAGTCAAGTATAATGGTAGTTAACACAAAAAGCTAAATTATATATTCAGAACCTCATACTGAACAAAGAAACAAAGGCATGCAATCCCAGGACAGGTGGAAACAGTGGTTCTGAACTAAAAACAAACCAAATGTGCTACAAATTGTTAAGTAACAAAGGACCATCCCTTCAAAATCGAAGAACACGTCTCAGTTATTTTATGCCTGTGTCCATGGAACCTAAGGTCTCAAAATTACTCTCTTACAAGGTGGCAAATTGAGACTGTCAGCCAAGCTACTAGCTTGTCTGTTTCTCTAAGAAAAATAAATTTCAGTAATTATTAAGGAAAAAGCATAGAATTACATCATGTTTTATGTCTAATTTCTTTTGGCATTGCATGGAAGCATAGATGTTTTCTACAAAGTGCCCTGATAAATTGAAAAAGAGGCCAACAACAGCCACCAAAAAAGCCTTCAAGAACCTTGCCAGTTTGGCCCAGGGGAAAAATTCCCTCATAACCACAGATTTGACTTTTCAACTTCTGTTCTTCTGTATATGAGTAATAATCTCTGAGGTTAAGTATTCATCCCATTTAGCTACTTGTCCACATAACTCCCTGGATCTTAGATTGCTCTATAAATACCTCCTAAGAGATGAATTTTTCAAATAAGTTTCTTTTTTTCCTTTTTTTTAAAGCAACAAAGAAAAACACGTCTGCGTTTATATTTAACCAAACTTGAACTTGGAGAACACGTTCCACGTTGTCAGCATGTTTCTTTTCTCTGCCGTTAAACTCCTTACTGTTCCAGTTACTCACCATCATACTCACCTTTGCTTCAGCCATGTGGGGTCCTGTGTTCTGCACATGTGCTCTGCTCTCCGATGCCTCCAGGTTTTGCTGTGCCTCTAGAAATTTCTCACCTGGATAAGGCCTTGGCTACCCTTTATGACTCATTCCTTTAGGAACCTTTTAAATCTCTCTTGAAGAATATTCCCTTCCCTCAGTCCAAATACACGTTCATTCACTTGAATGCTGCTTCTTCCTCCAGTTTCACGGTGCCGTGGATGATCCCTTAAGGTCTTTAAATTACATTATAATGAGTCATGCACTTGTCTCTGTTCTAGGGTTGTTTGGATTGTTCACTCTCTCTCCAGTGTTCAGCACAGAGCCTACAGGAAAATGCATATGCAATAATGTTTCTTGAAGAAATGAAAGGGCAAGTGAACCACCAAACAAATGCTAAAGAGCAAAAAATGTATTGCTCTTGTATATTAACACATTCTGAGAACAGATAAGGAAGTTCTTGAATAATGCCAAATTATTTCTTAAAGAACCTGATTTAGATTTTTTTTCAAAATGAGATACATGTTGGCACTGCTGTTCTAATCAAATAAAAGGTAGAGTCTGGGTTTAAAGTATCGGGGGGAGCACGTGTGAATAACCAGCATTGCTACTGTTGAGGCTCCGTAAAGTGGGAAGCAGTGATTGCAAAGATCCAGAGATGGACATCTGAAGCATAGTTTGAACGGGAGAGGAGCAGTTTGAACAGGAGAGGAGCAGGATCTGTATTGATTGCAGGTCACCAGATAGAATTATAAAATCTTTGTTCTCACTAGTGGCTGCAGTTTTGTAGGCACAAATGACTATTAGTGGTTATTGTATTTGTCTTGTTTTCAATGGAGCAGCTCCATGACTTAGTTACATAAGAAGTTAAAAGCCCCACCCCTTTCCCTGCCGATGTCCTAAGCTGTCCTCTTTGTGTGCATACAAACTTCGTCTCTAGATTGCCCTGGTGTGACTTAGTTCCTGGACCACCTTCCCAGCCCCTTTTGTTTCTAGCACATCCTCTTTCATGTGTTACAGGATTACAAAGCCTTTCAATAGGGCTTAGAACAAGAATGACAAATTGCTACCTGGTAGGCAGTACTGACTATATTTTTATTGGTGTTGCATAGAGTGACTGCATGACATGCAGGGTGTGCTTTGTTTCTCCAGGAACTTTCTGTTGAATGTAAAAGGCATTTAGCAAAGGCCATATGAAATTATCTGCCTTATGTACCTCAAATGTGAAGTAATGAACTTGTCATTAGTCATGTTTTAGTTTAGTGTTCTAGCTGGAACTTACAAAAGATTAAAATTCTGCACATTTCATTGAGTCTTCCACATGGACTCCAAATACCATCCCACAGGCTCGACCTGACTTGCCATGTTGCTTTGACACCATCTCTGATTCCAGTGAACAAAACTAAGTAAGTGTGACTTACAGCCGGCCTACCAGACATTGAAGGTGTGAGCTTGCCCTGTTGTTTTGTAATGACAGTGACAAGAGTATAATGACATCCTAGTCCGTGAAGACATGCTTTCTCTTTTCCCTCCCTCTCTGTACACTTACTCTTAAGGAAATAATATAATTTCTATTTCTGCTTAAATCTGCCATCTCTACTTAAAATTATTTCCCCTTGAAAAATTAAATTGCATTATCCATCAGCCAAATGAAAAATTTGATTACTAAATGTCTAGTTCTAGGCATTATGAATTACCTATAATATCACATTTCTTGGGCACTTCTCAGAAAGTTGTGATTTTACATAAAAGCATAAATTACAGAATGAGAGGAGTAAAACTTAGTGCATATTATGTGGGTTTGTAGAGTGATATGTTGCCTACGACTGTCATTGTAATCAAAATTGATTTTTGATCATTTATAAAACTAAAACAACTAATTGAAAGCAAATTTACTTTAACTGATGAAATGCAAGGTGAAGTGACAGTAGTCATGAATCACAGTTCTGTAGATCTGCTAAAATGTCAATACACTGACACTCAATTGTTATTAATGGCAAAAGTCTTTAATATATTAATGGGAATCCAAAGAAGGGAAATAAATACATATTTTGCCCTTACCTTAAGTCATGTTGACACTGTACATAAATCAGGTAGAATTTGAAGATGTTTCATCCAGCATTCATCATGAAGCAACAGAGTCAATAGTGGGTGGTGACAGTCTGTAGGCAATGCTTTCTGGTGTGGATTATGCAAGAAACTTACAGTCATTTGGCTTCCTTTCTTCTCCTTTTTATGTAAACTACAAGGTGGTAGGTAGACCTATTCTTGGCTGCCAGTATTTTTACCACTTGGATAGATTCTGCTCTCTGAGATCTTTAAGAGAAACACAGCACATGTACAGTGTGATACAGGATAAATAAAATCAGACAGAAGCAGAGGACTGGGCTTGTCAAAATTAAGGGTGACCTAGAGCCTTAGTGTCCTTATATGCCGAGAAGCTAGGATTAAAATTCATTGCTCTTTACACTTGCTTTTTATGCAGCAGAACTTTCTTCAAAAGAGATTATTCTGGAATCCCAATATACAAAATGGATAAAAGTAGGAATGTTCTGAAGTAAAGAAGTAACACCCAGAGCCCCACTTTTTTGAGTCATCACCTACATTTTAGATGGTCATTAATGTTTCTAGTTCAGAAATTCTGATGTTTTATATTAATTTAAAGTTATGTTAGGACTAGAAGAGCCATTTCATGTGAAAATAGACTTAGTCTGAGTGATTTGGGCAAGCTCACAGTGACAGATTTAGTGGCCTGATACACTGGGTTGGAAAGATCTGTTCCAAGTCAGTCTCCGTACACATGGCTCTCTGAACACGTGGAGATCAGTCTTGGTGGTGGTCAAGAACATGGAATCTGCTGTGAGAGAGACTTTAGTTAGGGTCTGGCCCTTCCATTTGTTAACTGCAAACTTGAGCAAGTTACTCAATCTCCTTAATATTCAGTTTTCTCATCCATAAAATGGACTGATAATGGTACCTTCTGTGTAGAGTTTCTATGAGTATTAAATGAGGTAATAAGCCTGTAAAACTCTTGGCATGATGACACTGGCATACAGTAACTGGTCAGAGAGTGAAAGCTTATTATAAACACAGCCATTTTTGTTGAATGACTGACCTACTGAATGAATTAATATAGAACTAGCTTTCTATTTGTGATGTATGAAATATCTGTTTCATTTAATTTCATTTTAAATATTAAAATTCAGGCTTACTTTTAAAGCAAAGTATTTGCGATGCAAAGAGTCAAATTCTGACTGTGATACAGTGACATAACTTTTGAAGGAATAAGAAAGATGCTAACATAGCATGAACAACTGATTTAGAGAATGGTCTTTGTTAAGATCCATGGGACTTGTCAATTTCATTTTTTTTGTTTATGAGCATAAAACGCTCTAGTGTACATCAGAATCACTTGATGCTTGCTGAATCGCCGGTTGCTGGGACCCATCCCGTTTCTGATTCAGTCTGAGATGAGGTCGGAGAATTTGCATTTTTAACTTGTTGCCAGGTGATGCTGATGCTAGTGGTCTGGGAATACACTTTGAGCATGACTTTCTCCACAGTAAAAGTCACAGCTGTAAAACAATTTAACTTGATGAGAAATGATAATGAGAAGGCATGTACCTAATAGATAAAGGACCTATACCAGCTATGAATTTGAGTTCAGCAATAATTATAAGATTTGTGATTCTTTTCCGGTATTTGGTTGTTTAAAAATCTCACTACGTATGCTTTTTTCTTATTTTTTTTTACATGGTGTCCTCTTTTCCTCTCTTTCTCTCTAATCCGGTTTTTAATATGAAAATGCTTTCTTTTGTTGTTAAAAGCAGAAGTGAACCTTCTGTGTAACCTTGGTGGTATTCAGTTTGTTTGTAAGCTATTTCTGTTAGTTTTTGTACTGAAACATGTTTTCTTGCTTTTGTTGCAGTATGGACGAGAAGAGAGCAACTGGACAATTGTACTATCTTGAACTGAAAATAGAAGATACCAACTGTATGCTATTGGGACAGATTGTTGCATTTGAATTGTGATAGATTTCTTTGGCTACTTGTTAGTAGTTGTCATAATGTAGTTTGTAGTATCAGTGTGTTACAAGAGTGATTTGTTTCTTTATGCCAGAGAACATGAATTGCAATCATCAAATGGTGTTTTGTAAGTTAGTAGTAGTAGCTTACCTTACCTTAACCCTACCTAGAAAAATATTAATGTAAGCCATATAACTTGGGGTTTTCCTCAGTGATTTTAGTGCCTCCCTTTGTACTTCACTGAGATACTAAAATGGTTTTCTCTTTAATATAAGTTATATTCTGCTCCTCAACCAAATGCAGTTTTTTGTGTGTTTGAAAGCTAATTTGAGTAAATTTCATAGGTTACATTTCCTGCCGCCTATCTTTATCTTCACAAAGCATTTTCCTTTTTTAAAATCAAGGCTTTTAAAACTGCATTTCCTCCTATCACAGTTTTCTGCACACCCTCCAAGTCCATCTTAAGGTAAATATCTCTCTTCTTCCTGATGTCACAATCTGAGCATACCCTGTGCATTAGGAAGACCTGAGTGCATTTCCCACCATTGTCCTTTTCATATGATATTGTAGCTGGCTGGCTGTCAGACGACTACAAGACTGAGGGTCTTGTGCCTTATAGATCTTTGTATCCCCAATGGCTGACACATAGTAGGTACTGAGTAAATGGTTTACATAATGAATGAATGGACATTTTGCTTCTATAGAAGTGTACCTTCTTTGTTTCTATATTATGAAACCTCTTTGTTAGAATTTGTGATTGATTCTGACATTGTATAGATTTACCTTATATGGTCTTTATTTTCCATGAGCTACTATGTCATTAGAGATACTCCAAAGCATAGTTTGGGGAATCATTTCATACTGACTGTGTTGGAATTGTCTTGAAATTGAAGATATATATCTAGAGCAGGGGATCCCCAACCCCCAGGCCACAGGCCACAGAGCAGGAGGAGGTGAGGGGTGGGCCATCGAGAAGCTTCATCAGTGTTAACAGCTACTTCCCATGACTCACATTACCACCCGAGCTCCACCTCTTGTCAGGTCAGTGGCAGCATTAGATTCTCACAGGAGCGTAACCTATTGTGAACTGTGCATACAAGGGATCTAGGCTATGTGCTTCTTATGAGAATCTAATGCCTGATGATCTGAGGGGGAACAGTTTCATCCTGAAACCTCTTCCACCCCACAGTCCGTGGAAAAATTATCTTCAACAAAACTGGTCCCTGGTGCCAAAAAGGTTGGGGACCACTGCTCTCGAGAGAGGTCATGATATCATCCCAATCAAATGGAAATGACAAATGTTTATGTTAAATGTTAGTTGCAGAAATAAATCTTTTTTGGGGGGGGTTGAAAACAAAGAGGTATACTCTGATTTTTATACTCTGCTTTTGCAGGTGCTCTTTTCTTTAAATGGAGATTTGATGAGCAAGTGGTTAGGATACAGGGAGAGCTATTATAAGTGGTATTTTCCTTGTCTAGGAGCTGTGAGTTAAAATTACATCCTTTCTTGTTTATCTAGGGGAAAGTCAAATCTTGACAGAAAACATTTTTCCTTGGAAAGTCAACTCTCAGACATTGTATTTTGGTTTTCCTCAGTCCTCATAACTTTCTTCTTGCTGAACATATTTTATTCTCTTTTCAGAAAAGGAAAAAGAAACATTCTAAAAGTTTGATGCATTGGAAAAATTTCCTTGAGGCATTTAGTAATGCATAGCAAATGGGCTTTGATTCTTTTCCAAAACTTTTAGCCATAGGGTCTTTTACAGACAGGAATAGTAAAATGAAAATTGAGAAATATAAGATGAAAAGGAATGGTAAAAATCTCTTTGAGGGGGCTTTTAATTGGTGATCTGAAGTCTTGGGAGAGGCTGTTCTTTTCAGGCCTGAGGTGCCCTTGACTGTCCCCTACACGCCGTATATCCTAAGCAGCATTCTAAGGGCGTGCTTTTGCCTTGGTGAACTCCCTTGACCTCATTCTTAATATAGTAGTCTGGGAAAGACTTGCAGGTAATTTCAGCTGTCAAGTGGTACATAGTAACTAGATTCTGATTCCTATGAGAAATGAGAATTATTTATTTGCCATGAATACATTTTATACTTTGCATCTCCAGATTTTTTATGGCAGGACATGCCCATTGTGAAGCTAGAGAGCATTACGTTTGTATCATTTCTTTCATAAAACCTTAAAAGCATTTTTAAGCCGTTTCCTTCAGACCCAGTGAAAACTACAGATAGATGTTTTTAAAAACTGGAGGTCTCCTGATACGGAGAACACAATCCACCATTGTCATTCAAGTAATAAGACAGGAAATTGACCTTGACGCTGTCTTGTTAAATAGATTTAACAGGAACATCTGCACATCTTTTTTCCTTGTGCACTATTTGTTTAATTGCAGTGGATTAATACAGCAAGAGTGCCACATTATAACTAGGCAATTATCCATTCTTCAAGACTTAGTTATTGTCACACTAATTGATCATTTAAGGCATAAGATAGTCTAGCATTAGGAACATGTGAAGCTAATCTGCTCAAAAAGATCAACAAATTAATATTGTTGCTATTTGCATAATTGGCTGCAATTATTTAATGTTTAATTGGGTTGATCAAATGAGATTCAGCAATTCACATGTGCATTAATGTAAACAGAACTGGTGGCACTTAAAATGATAATGATTAACTTATTTTGCATGTTCTCTTCCTTTCACTTTTTTTTCATTTTCAGACTGAGCTTGTCAGCTTTTTCGAAAACCCTTCAGTAGAAACCAGGATTTAAAATGAAGTATCAAGACAAAGGCAAAACCTGAGCAGTTCCTAAAAAGATTTGCTGTTAGAAATTTTCTTTGTGGCAGTCATTTATTAAGGATTCAACTCATGATACACCAAAAGAAGAGTTGACTTCAGAGACATGTTCCATGCTATCTAGTACAGGAACGAATAAATTTATAACACCTGCTTTAGCCTTTATTTTCAAAAGTGCAAAGGAAAAGAGAAAGAGAAATAAGTGACTGAGAAGTCTTGTTAGGGAATCATGTTTTTTTCCTACCTAGTAAACATCCTTTATTCTTTTCTTAAAAGATTGCTATAAGAAAAAAAAGACCAGAGGCAGAAGCAGGCAGCAGCAAGAAGCAGAGCATAACATCAGCTAGATGGTGGCATGCAATGTCACCTCTCTTGAAGACAGGAAACCTATGTTATATGCCCTGGGTTAAAATTCTTCACCATATTAGTTTTCCCGCTTCAGAAAATTGTACCTAAGCAAGTGGTCTTGCTTGCCTCAAATCCAAGCACTCTTGAACATTTGAAGGCAATTAATGAGTGTATCATAGTCAAAAGAATTGTAGGAGATTTTATTAAAGCTGCAGTTTCAGTTCTGCTTTTGGGGAATTGTGCTGTGAAAGCAGCTGCCTAAATAAGCTCATTTATTTTCTCCAGCCCCACTCAGTGCTCAGTCACTATATTCTGTTTCCTCTTTTTTCAAGTTGCATGTTTGGTTTCCCCTTATGATTGGGAAAGATGAATTTTCAGCAGAAAACAGCATTTGTTCACTTTCAAAGAGTGATAGTTTCTAAAACATTTAGAGCGATAAGTATTCATCAGAGGTACCAAGTGAGGCGGAAGACTTAGGGGTTAGAAACCCCTTATTTCATGTCTTAATTCTAGAATGATCAAAGTATTTTTCTTGTAATGTGGATTTCTTCTTATGCGACTATGCAAAAACTTCAGTTATAATGCTAGCAGGTAATTTTAGTGGATGTTTTATAACAACTGTCACTTTGTTTTGCCACACATAGAGTCTGTTCAGCTGTCTGTTTTCCAGATACCTCCTCACGAAAGTAGGCAAAGGGTACCAGCTTTTCAATAAGCATTGTCTGTTACTTGACAAAGATCATGTAGACTCTATTAATAGTTAATTTGATAAATGTTGGCTCAACCAACAATAGAGATTAGGAAGTTAGTTTTAAGAAATAAATGGCATATAGACATTATCCTCATGGAGTTTATGTTCTGCTACTTGAACTGATTGTAGCTATAAAAGCAATAGATAGCTGAATAGCTTGTAAGAGAAGAATGCCAGAGCACATCTCTTATCAAGAAATCAATGAATAGTTTATCTCATTTTACTTTTAAGGCAACTTTATCCTTCTTTAATTCCTTCCTTTCCTCTAGTACAAAACTACTTAACAAGGACGGTGTTTAGATTAGTGCTCACCCCACTCCTGATACGGTGTGAATTACCTCCTCTTTCTTTACTGTTTACTACCACCCTAGTACATGTGTTGACTGCATTTTTCTGAAACAACGTTGAGTTATGTTTGTCCATCTAATAAATTAACACCACAGATTACAGCATTCTTGATGATTTTCTTAAACTCAAAGCCAGATTATATGGAAATAAAGAAAATGATCCTGGAGTGAATTTTTCTAGAAAATATCTATTATGAACCATGCTGTTTAAAGTATTAGCTTGAAGGTGATGGATCTGGCTACTTAGAAAATAACTTTAATGTAACCATGATTTTGCACAGTATGAGGTTTTAAATGTATTGAAAGAGATAAATTTTTATTATTAACAAAAAGCCCTTTTAAATATTCAAAGGTGGAAGAAAGTGATATTTTTCCTCTTCAGCATGCATACCATGACAAAAAGACTTCTCAGATGTTTAATTTGGAGAGGTTGATAATGAAACATATCACAGAGTATAGTCGTTATAGTAGTGTTTGTGCATAAAGAATTCCCTGAGGTCAGACATATATAAACATATTTGCTTTAGTAAATGATAAAGGCATGAAATCGGTCTTAAAAATTGAAAGGGGAGGGATGGGGGAGAAAAAGAAGAACAAAAATTGAGGTGCTCTTTAAAATCTGCTGGATACAAGTATTGAAGTTTTAAGTTATCTTATTCTGTCTTAAAGTGTACTTTTCATTCTACAGTAGACTCATTTAGCAAGGCCTATAACTTTAGTTGCGTAATGTTCAGTTTATGTAATCTACTGTTGGGATGGTAAGAATTGATGTAGCCTGTGGTATTGAATGAATTAAAATATAGTTTCACTGGCTTTTCTCTACATATCCACCATCAGAATGGCTAGGTTTGCTGTTGCTCACTCTCGTATTATGGAGAAAAGTTTAATGAAAGATTATATCAGAGGAAGAGCAAGTGGAGGTGAGAAGAAAGGAATCATAGAGAGGGAAAAAAAACAAAACATATTTCTGTGTTATTCACAGGAGATTTTCCTTATTCTTTCAAGCACTGAGATCGTCAACTTTCAATATAGTTGCTAAATACAAATAATGCTGCTAGGTAGTGACCAAATACAGTGAACACTTTATCAGATATTAGAATTAGGCCACACTATTGAGGTTATAGTCTGACGGTTGTGCTACATAGAAACCACTTTAGATTACTATCAATTTGGACTAGACTTTATTTTATAACTGCAGTCAGTAATATCTATTGTGCCATTTCTTCAACCATTTTATTCTAAGATCCATGAAGCGTCTTGAGACCAAATAAAAGAATAAGTGACAAGGAGCAGACTGTGACTTTTTTTTTCTTAGCGATACTGTTTGCCGCTATCCCCCTATCCTGATAGGTGGAAGGTATACTGAATTGAAAATTGGTTGAATATTGGTTTTTAACTAAAATGTGCAACAATACATTGCAATTTCCTTCAACTCATTTCCTGTGATCATTAAAGTCATTCTCAGGGTTGAGAAAGGAATGTAAATATCTGTCTCAATTTGTACTTCACTGATAAGTTTTTGAAGAGTACAGATTTGAGTCATGTCTTAAAAATAAGCTCACAAATCTGGGTGCATTGCTAAGTTCTGCAGATGTTTCCTGGGGTGACTTGATAACAATGAATGATTCCACAATATACCTAGCTACCTAATACATGGAGCTGGAGCGCAACCCACTGTTTTTAAGAATCTGCGCTTACTTGTGGCCGAGGAAAAATAAGTAGTTTGAATTTTGAAATTAGAGCTTGTAGATAGAAACAGAATATCAACTTAATTATGAAATTGTTAGAACCTGTTCTCTTGTATCTGAAACTGATTGCAATTACTATTGTAATGATAAACCCCAGCCATTGCAAGTCTGAAATATCTTAGCTGTGTGGTGATTCTTGAAATTCTTTTTAAGAACAATTGAATAGAAAGAAATAAACACTTTCTAAATGAGGCTTGGCTTTTACGAACGACCATTTACAGGCTATGTTAAAAGAATTTTAGTCGCTTAAAATGTAATAATGGAAATGTGGAAAATATTGTAGGTATAGGGAACTACCTCATTCTCTGAAGGTTTTGTGGAAGCACAATTAAACATTCTAAAATGGCTTTGTTACACCAGAGCCATCTGGTATGAAAATCTCTATATTTGTATGTTGAAAGGGCATGGGATAATTGTATTTTGCTGGCAATAGATACATTCTTTATTATTTGCAGGTTCCTCATCAAATCTGTAATTATGCACAGTTTCTGTTATCAATAAAACAAAAGAAAGCTGTTTGTGTGGTTTCATGAAATCAGCATTGTTGAATGCATGAAGTAATAATGCTTAATTAACATTTTTATGATGTCCCAAGGTTTCTGGTCAGGGGAAATGTAGGATACTATTTTTACACCAAAATGACATAGAAAGAATTGAGCACACCAGAAGGACCAGAAACCACACCACTGAATAGAGTTTAGATATACTTCCTTTTCAAACATTTGGACAAGAAATACAATGGACATTTAAACGTTGTTCTTTCCCCTGGTTATGGATTTATCTTTAGTAAAATTTAGCTTTGCTGTTGCACAGAATGGACAGAATAGATGACCTCTTCCCATTCATTGTCATAATGGATCTACCTCACTGATAAATACCATAAATCTATATGTGGTTAACTAGCCTCAGAATAAAATAAAATTTATGAAGTGAAAGGGCTAGAGATCTTCAATGATGTGTACTTTTTAAGCAAACCAGGCCTTGTAGAAATTGTCCTCAAAAGCACCAAAGGGGAATAAAGCTAAGTGTAGAATTATCCGAGGGGCACATATTTTGTTATCTTTTTTTTTTTTTTTTAAGTAATTTGGCCAAATGATTTGAAGTACAGCAAAACCTAAAGTTTTGCAGAGTTCCTGTAAACTGAACTTAAAAATGTCAGAGTGCTCAGTGACCCTCTTCTCCAGCCCATCAACCTGTGAAAATACTGGCCTTTATTCAGCTCTCAAGAAGTTACGTGCAGTTTGGAAAGTCTATGCAAGGGTTATTAGTCAAGTTCTCTCACAGTGTTAACACTCAACTCCCACAAGCGTGAGAAGGAGAGACCTGTCATTCCTGAGGGTGATGACATACATTAACTGGAGCTTATGCAATTTATCAGATAAGACAGCAGTCGCCTTCAGGGTAGAAAGTGTCTTTTCTACATCGATTTAGTACAAAGCCAAAAGAAAAAAGGGAAAAATCTCAAATTTTATAATTATTTTTCTGCTTAGCTGATTCAGTGTGATTTAAGTATTTTTTAAAATCATGAATCTGATTCCACATACATGACATATCATATGTGCCTTACATTGTGATAATTTATTTTTAAGTGAAATATGCTATTATAGCCTGACTTTATGTACAGTGGTGATAACTTGCAGGATCACGTTTCTGTAACCAAACAGCCCACAGCCAAGATGTAGATGCTTCTTATGTCTGCAGAATAATCACTGGCCTTGTTCTCTAGCTATGTTTGTATGCAACAGGGACAGCATTGATTGAAACCCATGATTATTCTCTCCAAAGGTCTTTGTCACTAAGCCACTAGGGATTTTGAAAAGTTCATGAGTTGAAACAAATAAATTGAGTGGGAAGATTCATGTTGATTGTATCCCAAATGCAATATACCAGTTTTGGAAGCTGAACTGATTATATTAAAAAGATTAAACTGCATTTGTTTTAAAGATAGTTACATGATCAAAAGGTCCTCAACATCATTGAACATGAGATATGTGCAATCAAACCTACAATAAGATGTCATTTCACCACAGTTAAAATGGCTTATATCCAAAAGACAGGTAATAACAAATGCTGGTTAGAAACGGGGACCCTCTTACACTGTTGGTGGGAATATAAATTCTTACAACCACTATGGAGAACAGTTTGGAGGTTCCTCAAAAAACTAAACATTGAACTAGGATATGATCCAGCAATCCCACTGCTAGGTATATATACAAAAGAAAGGAATTCAGTACATCAAAGAGTTATCTGCAATTCTATTTTTGTTACAGCACTGTTTACAATAGCTATGATTTGGAAGCAACCTGAACATCCATCGATCGATTAATGGATGAAGAAAATGTGGTACATATACACAATGGAGTACTATTCAGCCAGAAAAAAAAAAGAATGAGATCCTGTCATTTGCAACAACTTGAATGGAACTGGAGATCATTATGTTAAGTGAAATAAGCCAGGCACAGAAAGACAAGCTTTGCATGTTCTCACTTACTTGTCGGATCTAGAAAAACAATTGAACTCATGGAGATAGAGAGTAGAAGGAGGGTTACCAGAGGCTGGGAAGGGTAGTGGCGGTAGGGAGGACAGAGGAGGTGGGATGGTTAATGGTTATGAAAAAATAGAATGAATCACAACCTTTTTGATATCACAACAGGGTTACTACAGTCAATAATAATTGTACATTTTTAAATAACTTAGAGTATAATTGGATTGTTTGTAACTCAAAGAATAGACTCATGAGGGATGAATACCCCATTCTCCACAATGTGCTTATTACCTATTTCATGCCTGTGTCAAAACATCTTATGTATCCCATAAATATATACACCTACTATGTACCTATGGAAATTAAAAATGTAAAAAAGATAGCTACATAATCTAGTAAACATTTCTCACAAAAATATATTCATGGTAATGATAAGCAAAGGTGTTGCATATCTCTATCTCTATCTATATCTATATGTATATACTTTTTATTTTTTGAGACAGATTCTCACACTGCCACCCAGGCAGGAGTGCAATGGTGCAATCCTGGCTCACTGCAACCTCTGCCTCCCAGGTTCAAGTGATTCTCCTGCCTCAACCTCCAAAGTAGCTGGGATTACAGGGGCGCACCATAATCTCTGGCTTCTTCCAAGCCGTTGTAGGATCCCACAAAACAACTTTCTTAACATACAAGTCGCTTGATAATTAACAAGATGGTTAAGGGCCATTGGCTGATCCTGTGATCTTGAGTAAGTTTCTTAAATTGGGGGAAAAATATGCAGATCATAATAGTACCAATCTCATTAATTATAAGGATTAGTGAGAATAAAATAGCAACAGTTTATGTGTAAAATGTAAATTGATGGCATTTTATAAAAAATAAATGAATGAACCCAAAGACAGAAAGGGGCTAATAGCTCATGAAAATTGTGTGTGAAGAAACTGGTGATCAGCCCCTTCCTCTCCACTCAGTAGAGGTGGTAAATGCTCCTAGGTTCAGAGCACAGCTACTTGGGACAGGGGCATAATCTAGCATTCCTAGACTGCTTAGAGTGAGTTAAAAATAGGTGATTTACTCAAGTTTGGAGGTAAAAACCAGGGCTGGATTAAGCAATGATGGTCAACTATTTTAAAATAGGCGTTTTTAGTTTTTAGAAATAGGAGTTCCATATTCCCCATGAATGCAACATTGATGGTTAATTTCATGCATCGACTGTACTAGGCTATGGTGCCCTAGGCTGTGGTGCCCGCTTGACTGGTAAAACACTAGCCTAGATTTGCTGTGAAGTTGTCTTTTAGATGTGATTAATATTTAAATCAGATCACCTGAGAAGAAGACTGAGACAAGCAGATCATCCTCCATAATGTGAGTGGGCCTCATCCAATCCATTGAAGGCCTTAAGAGCAAACACAGGTTTTCCAAAGAAGAGGGAATTTGGCGTTAAAGCTACAACATGCAAACTGCCTGAATTTCCAGCCTACTTGGCCTGCCCTGCAAATTTCAGACTTAAGACTACATCATCAACTCTTCCCTGAATTTCCAGCCAGTTGGCTTGCTGTACAGAATGTGGACTCATCAGCCTCCACAATATAAGACAATTGAATTTCTTAGAAAAAAAATTAATCTCTCTCTTCAAGTATATACGTAGATAGAGAGGTATAGTTCCTATTGTTCTTTCTAGAATCCTGATGAATACAACAACAAACAGCATTTTCACTTACAGTTTCCTCTTCTAAGTAAAAAAATCACGTACTGTATTGCTCTCTTTTGACTCAGGTAAGCCTATTCGTTCAGAAAATTGTTCATCACATAAGGTGCTAATGATAATGGACTCTAATCACAAACATAGTACCCAAGAAAAAATAAGAATTCCAAGACTGGCAATGTCGCACAACCCAAACTAACTAAATAAGGGCAGACATCAAAAGTGTATTTTCAGGCATCAATGAGAGAAATAGTTATCAGTGTTGGGCCATGAAATGCCTGGAATTATTGTTATTGTTTTTGTGTTAGGGGCCTGAGTCTATGCTCTGAGAATGCAACATGGCCAGAAGTAGACAGAAAAAGCTTTTTTGGTATAATTGAGGGATGGGGTGATTTTGTCACGTAAGACCCATCCTAATGATAAAAGATGGCTTCATACTTTTACTAAAATGTGTGGCTATAGTGGTCATCATGTGTGTCACCCAGACCTCCTGTCTACACAGTATGACAGTCAGCTTCAACCCCATACTCACTGGTGCTCCCACTACCAGGTTCAAGATAGGAAACATGTTTGTAGTCATTTGGGGTTTTAGATCTCTGTGTTCCACATGTTTTAAAGTTATCTTCCGCAAGTCAGTTTTTGTAAACTCCCGAATAAAGAGAATGAACTGATCTGCATCTGCAGCGTGATTTGACAAGGCAATTTAAAAGGCAGTAAGAAGCCGAACAGGGTTAAGTGATGGAGACAGGGACCATCCACAGCAGCTCCTCACCAGCTTGGTTCTCACAGAAGGAGAAGATGATCTCATATTTTGCCTGAGGGAAAGGAAGAGGATTTGTTTCGGACTTGCTTGGTGCATAGTCATGAGGTTAACATTTGCATTTTCTGCAAGAGAATTTTCCCCCCAGTTCAATGCAAACCTTCTTTAACAGCAATTCTCCTCCTCCTGATACTATTCAACAATTATTCTCCTTGCTAATCATCAATTTGAATGGCTAGATTTCACAGTCCTGTGTATAAAGCCCAGTAGATAATTTTGTTTTTCCTATTTCCCTTGTATTCATATTCATTCAATTTCACCATAGCCAGCTAGGTGACTGTTAGAACCTGTAATTATTTTTGTCAATGTCTGCCTCCCCCACTAGACTACTAATTCTTCAAGAGATTTCATCTAACACATTTTCTTTTATCCTCAGAACAAAGTTCTTTAATCATATGTGAGTAGTACGCACTGAGCATCCAGCCTGGTGTCTGACATCTTGTAATCACAAAATATTTGGCAGACCTGTACTTTTTTTCTCTGTGCCCCATTTAGCTTCAAGGATTGA